AGCCCCTCTGGATTCAATCCCCTGTACCCACTACCAAAAAAATATAAAATACAGCATAATACATGAAAAGCATTTTCAATCTGATAATGAAGATTTAACAGGCTTTTTCATCATCTCTCCCCAAGATGAACACTCACCAATGAAGGAAAGCATCTTGCTTAGCTATATTAAAACAAAACACCCAGATCAGTTTAACTGGAAAGAGCCCTTGTTGCCAGGTAAGCTCTCTGAAAACTACCATCTGCAACTCCTTGTCTCTGTAATTTGTCTTTCTGGCTACTTTACTGCTAAAACTAAAAAGAAAACTGGATGCAGACGATAACAATGCAATTGTCTTCAAAAAGCCCTAATACTGAACTTTTGTCTTTATCACAACACCCTTATTGTACCTCCTGATTACATAAGTAAATGTTCTAAAGCTCAATTTTTAAAAACAACATGCAGGAGCTGGGATTTGTGGCTCAGCGATAGAGCACTCGTCTAGCATGTGAGGCCCTGGGTTTGATCCTCAGCACCACATAAAAATAAACAAACAAAATAAAGGTATTGTGTCCAGGTGGGGATGTGGCTCAAGCGGTAGCGCGCTTGGCTTGCCTGGTATGCGTGCGGCCCGGGTTTGATCCTCAGCACCACATACAAACAAAGATGTTGTGTCCACTGAAAACTAAAAAATAAATATTAAAAAATTCTCTAAAAAAAAAAAATCCATGGTTGGTGGAGTCTGCACTCTCAGATGTGAGGGCCAACTATATTTATAAAAAAAAAAAAAAAAAAAGAAAGAAAGAAAAAGGTATTGTGTCCAACTACTTCTAAAAAATATTTAAAAAAAAAAAAAAACATGCAGGGCTGGGGATGTGGCTCAAGTGGTAGCGCACTCACTCGCCTAGCATGCAATTCAATGGGTTCAATTCTCAGCACCACGTAAAAATAAAATAGTGTGTCCACATAAAAACTAAAAATAAATATTAAAAAATGCAAAAAAATACAATTTTTACATATTTTAGATATAGAACCACCATATACTATGTGAAAATTTATTTTAAAAGCAAAGAGAATTCTCCCAGGTGAAAACAAATTTTTGATACCTTCTGTTGGATGAATAAAGGATGAGAAGGGATAAGAGAAGACACAGAGTAAGTTGTCACTGTGAACACTGTGGGCAACCCCACTTTACAGGCAGAAAAACCTGAAGTGGGGGGTTACACATAATAAAGGACAGAAGTGGGATCAACCCGGGTTTCTTATTCAAATCTTCCAATACCTTTCCCAAACTCACCAAGCAATGGCGATTAAAGTTGCCAGGGTGTGAACTGGAGCACACTCTGCATTACCCCAAAGCTCAAGTGGTTCCCACAGCTGGGAGATACTATCTATGGAATAGACCAAGCACTTTGGAAGAGTTTTCTCAACTTAAACTTGCCACATCCTATGAAGTAAACACTACTGTCCCTATTAAATAGACAGAAACACACATTGAGATACTAGCTTGACAGTAGGATAGATGGCTCCCCTCACTCCACAATTGCTTGGCTGATCTGAGCATGACTGTGTGTCCATGCTTCATCACCAGGACTAGTGGTTTCTTTTCCCGTCCCTCCTGCTCCATCCAGACTCAAAGTTCAACAGAGCCCAGAAGCTCCCTTGAGGAACTATCACTGCTTCTCTCCATCTCCCACCCAACCCCTCCAACCTATCCTATATTCAGATGCAAAAGCCATCCCCCTGAAAATATCACCTGAATCACTACTTGGAAGTTAATACTATGTAGAAACTTCCAAGAGCTTCTCACTTAAACTAAAAACGATCCATGACTACTTGTCCTGTATAAACTACTCAGATTTACTGTCCTCAGTTCTACGATACTCTAATTCTTACTCTGTACAAGAAGGAAAAACCAGTTAATGAACCCATAATCCTCCCTCTCACTCCCATTTGAGACTTCCAAACATGCCACCACCCTAGACTTCAACATCTTCCCTCTCTACTCACGAGCTGAGTCCCTAAAGATGCTCCAGTAACACATCATCAGTAGTATTCCAAAGCACCACTTACCTTGACTAGCTTCCCAAGGTAGGTCCTATGCTAGTATCAATCTCTCCCTACGCTCTTCATCAACTCAGGCCCTGAAGCTGGCTTGCAAGTTACATTATAGATTAAGCCTACAGAAGGCACCCAAACAGAATCTCACCTGCACTCTAAAGGAAACTTCTGAAAAGAGGTACACAACTTCCCTCAACTCCCTTCCCTGACGTTTGTTTCCACCTTCAGGTTGCCCATGGTCACTGCTTAAGACTAGATGCACACACCCACTTCTAGAAGCAAAATAACCAACACCAAGCAAAGCCAATAACCCTACTGGACCACAGGGCTGGTGGAAGGAAAGAAGAATCCATATGCCAAACAGTTCTTGTTGCCACAGTGTGATCTCTGGATTTTCTCTGTGGCTTCATTCTTAGTCATGTTACAAGTGATTCAACTGAAGACAGGTCCATAGGAAGGCCAAGGCTATCAAATGTAGGCCTTTAAAAAGGGGAGGGGGGAATACTGTTTTCCTTCAGACCTTTCCCAAATGGTAAGAACTCAAAGCAAAAATTAGACGACAGGTGCTTTAGGAGGCCACCTTTCAGGCCAGGCCAGGCCAGAAAAGCAAAAGTCCTCCTCAATAGCTCAAGTTGGAAGTCCACAGTGAACCCTCTACAATAACCCAGGCCAGTTTGGTCCTTCCTTTCTAACATGAGGTTTCTAGAAGCACATGTAAGCATCATAACACTGCAACTCAGAAAAAGGAGCATGCAGACAGGAGATCAATCCTACAAGAATAAACATCCAGCCAGGTAAAAATAACAGTAAACAAAAACAAGGGCCCTGCTTGTTTACGACTATCAAAGTAAAATGGAAAAAACCACAGAGTAGGAAGAAGCAAAACAGAGAACTATGACTTCAGCAAGGGAAGCCACATCTGAACAGCCAAAGTTGACAACGACTCTGGGCAGGGGCTGTATCCAGCAATATGAAGCCTTTTAACCCTTGGTCTGATCTGGTTTAGGTACTTGGGTGGTAGTGGTTTTACTGGTTGGCTGGTCTTTATCCTAAGAGCAAAGAGCAACTGTAAAAGACTTGAGCAGGGGAATGATGTGATCAACTGAACTGCCAAAGATTACTCAGGCTGGCAAAGGGGTCAACACAGCCTGGAGGAGGCAAACACGGGATTTAGGTGCATGTTCTGCTAGCCAGAGAGCTTCATGTCTCCACTGGCCGGTGGAAGTAAGGCTGCCTCTCTGAAGCAAAATGTACAGGACTCACTGGTACACTGGGAAACAGCTGAGGAGGACAGACAGGTAGCCACAAAGTCTCCAGTGTGTGGGGGTTGGCGGGGTTACTCTGAGATTGAGGCTGGCCAGTATGAGATGGGGACAGAGAAATAGTTATCATAAGTCAGATGTGAGAAAGTAAAAATTAGTTTGCTAAAAAAATGAAAACCCATCCTGCAATTTGTCAGGCTAGAAGAGCAGACACGAAAAAAGCCAAGGAATAATATATCTCCTAAGGACCCTGCAACCGAGAAGGGTCACAATGAACCTTTGAGGGACTACGGACTTGTTCACTTAGAAGTCTCACTCTGAAAAATCCAACTCTTAGAAACTGCTGTTTTGAGATTTTACAGAAAAAAAAAGAACACCACATCCTGGCCTAAAGAGCCTCTGTAACAGAGGCAGCCTGCATGTTCTGCTAGCCAGAGAGCTTCATGTAAGGGATTTCTAGACAGTGTTACACAGTCTATCTGAACTTTGCACTTTTTAAGTGAATGGAACCAGGAACTTCTTCAGCAAGACCTACGTTGCCTCTTTACACAAAGCTCTACATTGCTTTGAGCCATCAAAACACTCACTGCTTCAGGGCTAGGGATATAGTTCGCTGGTAGAAGGCTTGCCTCACATGCATAAGGTCCCTGGGTTCAATTCCCAGCACCACAAAAAAGAGAAAATAAAACTACACACCAAGGGCTGGGGTTGTAGCTCAGTGTAGAGTGCTTGCCTTGCATGTGTGAGGCCCTGGGTTTGGTCCCCAGGACCATATAAAAATAAACAAATAAAAATAAACATATTACAGTTACACACACACACACCAAAAAATTTATTAAAAAAAAAAACACCACTGCTTCATTTCCACACCACCCTAATCCTACCCTGCCCTTCAAGTCCTGTAACAATACGAAACTCCTCTTTGGTAAGATGCCTCCCAGTTCCTCTGGAATGTGGTCTCCCATATTGCAATGAACCATAAACCTGACCTAGTCAAACTACAGGCCTATTCCTAGTGACCTCAGTCTCATTAAGCTAGGACAAACATTTAAGAATCTGAAATGATCATGGGGAATTGGCCTTAACCCTTAAAGGCTGACTTGATGGTGATGCAGCCTCAACCAGACATGTACTGATCAATCTCGAACTATCTTCAAGAACTTTAAAAGGGTCCTACACTGGTACTTGACGTGACAGCTCAGTTTGAAGCTCAAAAGTGTGAATGGACAAGTCCTCAAAATCCTGGCCTTAACTCAGTGCTAGAAGTTGACCTTCCCATCCACCCAGGGACAAGCGCACACACATTCAGTTATCTCTACGGCTCCATTAATCCCACCTGAGGCTGCAACATGGCAGGATCTTTAATTTGCAAAAGGCCTTAACTTTCAGAGTGGAGTTTTTCAGAATGAAAACCATTAAATTCTTCTTCCAAGGAAGAGAACAGAACAGAAAGAGAAGCTAGTAATAAACACTACAAAAAACTGGCAGCCTTTCCTCCAACACCAACACACTTTTCTCAAGTTACTCTTTAAGGAGATCTCCACATTTTATCTGACTCTCCCTAATGTAATTACAAGGACCATAGCCAACACGTTAAAATTTATATACATTTACAGTTATGTACCTAAGATAAATCTGCTCTATTATATTACATTACCAATAACCAATCAGACTGCTAAAAATGAAGGTGGGACTCACTTTTTTCTACAATCTTTAATTTCTGGAAGCTTTCCAGTACCTCCCCATTTAGTATTCTGGGTAAGAAGTCCCGTATTTGCATCACTTCAGTTGTCAGCCGTTCCAGGTCCTTCTTTCTGACTTTAACGAACTCTTCTTTGGTTCCCATGTGCTAAAAAATGAAGACCTTTAAGATTATTATATTTCTCTTCAGATGACTAAAACCAGCAGCCCAAGCCGACCTGCTTCTTTTTAGTGCCCCTCTGTTCCTACGGTTTCTACAGCGTGTCTTTAGGTGTCTTCTCCTAGGGGACACGGGTCTGGGTCACACGTGTGTAAAGCAGGTGAAAACGCGAGGGTGTCGGGCCGTGCCACGCACCTCTTCCCCTGCTCTGGGGGCCCAGCCGCCCAGTCTGGGAACCAGCGAGACCCTGGGGCGGTGGGCTGGGCTGACGCCAGCTTCCGACCGCTCGCCGAGTTGGAGGCCTGGAAACTGGGAGACCCAGTCGCTAAGTGCAAGGTCAAAGGGCAGGCGCATGGCTCCAGCGGAGCGCCGGGGTCAAGTGCAAGGTCAAGGGGCAGGGGCGTAGCTCCTGCAGAGCGCAGGGTCAGCCCAGGCGGGCTGTGCGGCCGCACGAAGGCGAAGAGGCCGCCGCAAAGGACCCACTGAACGCCGCGCTGCAACTTAACCTGGCGGCCTCGGCTGCCCGCACGCCGCGGGCGGCGGCACGTGGCCCGGACACGGCCAGGACCAGCTCTGGGTCCGAGAACCCAATCGCCCTCAGGCCGCGTGGGTCACATCCGCAGTCATGAAGCCGCCTTCGCAACGCGCCGGCCGCGTGCTGAGCCAGGCCTTCGAGGGCGGTGAGAAGCCGCGTCCCAGCCCCTCCTGCCCAGTGCATCGGGCCTGCGAACAGCGCTTCGCGTTTGGGCGATGCCCGCCGCGGGCCGACCGCAGGAAGCGGGCCCTCCCCACTGACCCGACAGGCCTCCTCAGCGCCTCCTGCCTCGCCCATGGCCACCGCCTCGGCTCAGTGCGCCTGCGCAGCGCTCTTTGACCCCTGCACGCCAGAAAGCGCGGGAACGAGGCCACGCCGGTCCGAATAGTCCGCAGTACGGAGAGCTGCGAGGTTCAAAGCTCCCGGAGTTTGCACAGCATCCTCTGCCTCGGGATCGATGGGTGGACTCCGGGAGGTCCCACTTCTGATCTTCTGGTTTAGCCCGGGTTAACTGCAGAGTAGACGAAACGTGAAACCCAGAAATAAGTATCAAATAAAATAAATCCGAATAGTCCTTTCTCTTTTGGTGATAGATACTGCTCTGGCCCTGACCCAGCGACCCGCTCCAGGAGCTTTCACTTCAAGAGGTGAACGTTTGTGATCACAAGAGAGTTATTTCTTCCAGGTGACAGTAAGATAACCACCCTAAATTCAGGGGAGTCACCCTACAACGGTAAATTCCCTATAGTCTTGCATGATCCCAAAGTTAGCACAACTTTAAGGACTTCCCCTCTGGGATTAGCAAGGTCTGCACTATTCCCGTTCCCGTAAAGTGCATGTAGAAAGGCCAGACAACCTGTTGGCTCCCAGAACCTGCCCCGGATGCCGGGGGAGAGGTCAGAAGGGGACGTTCTGGCCGCACCACAACCGGCATTGGGTCCAGGATGCCCAATGGGAGACCAGGTGGTTCACTTGCACCCCACACCCCTCCCACCAGATGCGGGGGGAAAAGGTGAGACGGAGCACTGTGCCCTGGACACCTCTGCACCCGCCCCATGATGCTAGGGAGGATGGGTTGGTTCCCTTCGCAGTGCACACACCTGCACCTGCCCCAGGTGCTGGGGGCGAGGGTCCCGCCGTACTCCACATCCCAACCCTGCACCAGCGCATTGGGCACTGGGCACTAGGAGTGCTCTGGCCCTGCCAGAACGACGCGGTAGCCGGCCGGAGGGGCTGCCCGTCAGCCGGCTAAGCAGGGCCCCAGGAGAACCTGCCTTCCCGGGCTCCGCGCCACGGAAACGCGGTGCGCACGCATCGCAGGAGAGCTGCTGGCCTGACGGGGCTTTGCTAAGTGTGCTTCGAGATTCTAGGCCATTTAAGCCAGCCGTCTGTGTCTTTCCGGACAAGACCCGACCCTGGCTAACCTCGCCGCCGACCGCCCTGACCTGCGGCGACCGAAAGACAGCGCCGACACGACGTCGTGGGGCCGGGCGGCTCCTCCCGCGGCCAGAGCCGCTCCCAGAACGCGCGGGCCGGGAACGCGCGGCGCGCGGCGCCTCTATGACGCCATCGGCGCGCGCCGCGCTCTGCGCAAGCGTGGTCGGGCGGCGGCGCTCGGCGGGGTGGCTCAGGCGGCCGCGATGGCCCCCGCCGTGCAGCCCGCCGAGGTCCAGTTTGCTCAGCGGCTGGCGTCCAGCGAGAAGGGCGTCCGCGACCGCGCGGTGAGGAAGCTGCGCCAGTACCTCAGCGTGAAGACGCAGAGCGAGACAGGTGGGCGTCCACGGGGTCCGCCGCGCCACATGGCCGGCGTCGCGGTCGCCAGGGCAAGCGGCGAGCCATCCGCGTGCTGTGCCTGGGCCGTGCTGGGCGGGAACGGCCAAGTCCGGTGGTGTGCCGAAGGTCAGCGGCGGAGCCGAGAACTGGCCCGGGGCTGGTGGCTGGACATCGCGGTTGGTTGCCGGGAGAAGCCGGGCCCGGCCTGGAGGCGCGCGGGCGGGAAGTGGCCAGATGGAGTGCGCTAGCGAGCGCGGGCCGCGGGCTGTGCGCCCAGCACGGCGCCTGCAGGGCAGGAGCTGCGCGGCCCGAGACGGGCGCGGAGACCGTAAGCGCGGCTGGAGGGCTCCCGAGGTGCAGCTGGAAAGCAGGCGGTGGAATGCGGGGAAGTGTTATTTACCCGACTAAAAGGTTCTGGGGACCCTTGAGTGAGCACTTAAGGTATGGACTGCAATGGGCGATGGAGGCCTGCTTATGTTGCATCGAGGTGGCTAAAGTTGGGCTTAGTTACTGCTGATAATAGCACAGTTGAAATTGCTTAAAAGAGCATTACTCCCCACACCCGTTACTCACACAAAACACACACACATATCCCAAATAAGAAAGAAAAGAAAAATTAAGCTTTGGTGGGAAGTCTAAGGAGTGGATCGGAATTCCTGACATCTGTTTGGAATCTCCGTTAGTTTACTCTCCTGGTTTCACATATCTGTAATCCAATGCCTCTTAAACCTAAACTGCTAGCCCAGCACTCTGCATGGTTGTCCCACTAGCACCTCATACTCAGTGCCCAAAGTCCCCCAAAACTTAGTGCTGCTTGTCTGCCTCCTGCTCACTCTGCAGAGAAGCCTACCTCTTCTCCATTCCCATTCAGTTCAATATCACTTCCTCCCTCTTGCCCCCACTCTTGTAGGGTTCTAAGCACCACTAAACACTGCTGTCTATTGTAGCATTTAGATATATTGCTTCTTAATTATCTGTTGATGTGCCATTCTTCCCCCAAATACAGTAAGCTTCCATCTGTTTTCATAGCTTGAAGTGGGGGCATATCCAACTTATGAGGTCCTGGCTGTGGACAAGAACAAAGACAGGTGTGGTACATATGGACCTGAGACATCCAGACAGCCTCTTGCTCACACCACTTTGTGAACAGGCCTAGAACTTCAAATTTGGCATCAGGCTAAGGTAGCCTGACACCAATGTCCTGGGTTCCTGCCTCCTTAGCACCCATCACACCCAGTTACTTGTGTTCATCACTATATGCACATTGCATTTGGTATAATCGGCCTTCAAAAATAACTACAGTAGATGTCTTAGCAAAATAGAGGAGAAAAACCAAGGTCTCTTCCACAGCTAAGCTCCATCAAAATAGAAACACAAGTTTGGAAATAGCTTAGCCCAACATTTGACTCTCATTGACAGGCTCAGGATCTTTTTGCATCTTGTTAGGAAGTATTTTAACTTTCACCAACATAAATAAATAGCTCTATAATCTTTAAAACAAGTTGGAAATCTTTGTACCACTTAAAACAATATTGCTCTTGTGCTTTAAATGTGAGTCCTCACTCACATGAAGTGATCATGGTTTTGGTTCATAACAACTCATTTGTTGTGATTTAGTCATTAATTCCTATATTCAGAAAACATTTGAGAAGCACCAGGTGTGTGCTATTATTATGTACCCTATTCTTGGCACTGAACTAAACAGTCAATCCCTACCTGTCTTTTTTGTCTTGACCTCCTGAATCACTGAGATTACAGGCATGCAACACTACGCCCAGCAATCCCTATCTGTCTTATCAATTCTGCAACTTTAAAATGTTAACATCTGCCAGACAGGATTGTGTGTGCCTGTCATCCCAGCTACTCAGGAGTCTGAGTCAGGAGGATCAAAAGTTCAAGACCAGCCTCAGCAACTTGGTGAGATCCCCATCTCAAAAGATTAAAAAAAAAAAAAAAAAGTAGCTGAGGAAGTAGCTCAGTCATAGAGCATGGGTTCAGTTCCTAGTACTGCACCCACATAAAATTTTCTGCCCCAAAATTGAGGTACATCTTAGCATTTGAATCAACCTGTGATGGTTTCATTCACATCATTGCTTTCTTTGGAGACATAGAAAACAACAGTGTGTCTGGGGTAAGTGGTCTTAGATTTATTAATGGTGATGAGGCAACTCTCTACCTGAAGTCTTGATGAGTAGGAGTTGTTTTGACCCTGGGCTAAGTTAGTGTGACACTGCTCCTATCATAAATGGCTTCTGTGCTTGTGTCCTGGGGAAAATAGTGTTACTATTCATTATATCCTGTGTCTGCATGGCTCACTTTCATGTTCACCTGATTTGTTTTAAAATAACTACCTAGCCAGGCACAATGGCACACACAAATAATCCCAGCAGCTTGGGAGGCTGAGGCAAGAGGATCACAAGTTTGAAGCCAGGCTAAGCAACTAAGCGGGCCCAAGCAACTTGGCAAAACCCTGTTTCAAAATAAAAAGGGTTGGGCTGGGGATGTGGCTCAAGTGGTGGCGCACTTGCCTGGCATGCATGCGGCCTGGGTTCGATCCTCAGCACCACATACAAACAAAGATGTTGTGTCCGCCAAATACTAAAAAATAAATATTAAAAAATTCTCCTTCTCTCTCCCTCTCTCTTAAAAAATAAAATAAAATAAAAAATAAAAAGGGTTGGGAATGTCAGTGGTAAAGCACCTCTGGGTTCAATCCCTAGTACCAAAAAAATAAAATAACTAAACCTAGATGGGCATGGTGGCACACTTGGATAACTATGGCTGAACAGTGAGTTGATCAGAACCACACCCCGCTGTTGAACATGCTTCACTCACAACATGCTTCTCTGATGTGCCTTTCATTTTGACCCTGACCATATGCCTGGTACAGTAAGGAGACTAAGTCCCAAAGGTCAGTGGACAGTTTTCTGTTACTATGCTCTTGTACACAGCAGTTGGGGCCTGCCCAACTGTTGGGTCTCTGCTGTACTTTGTGGCCTCCTTCAGGAGAGATGAGTCAGAATGTGCTTTCACATACCTGCCCACTGTCTGGGCTCTGCTGTTATTTTGGCTTTGTTAGAATCTTCTGTTTTTCCATATAGGTCTCTGTAGCACATCGTATTGTTCCTTTGCCTGTGATATTGAGTGTACCCCATTATTGCTTACCATTGGTTTGAGAACTATCTAGAGATAAACATACACCAAGCAGCTTTAAGTAAGAAAAGCCAGAATACAGAAGAATGTCATACTTACGTTCTAACACGTAGCCATGCTTTTCCACAATACAAGTAACTGTTCTGCACATGCATAGGAAAGATCTAGAAACAGAAGGCAGATAGCAGTGGCCTCTATGGAGAGGAAACGGGATTTGGGAGGCCGTGAACAAGGCACTCTTGACTATGTAACTTTGGTAGTGTGTGAATGTTTTGTAATAAAAATGTGTTTTTACTAGGACTCTTCAGTTGCCAATCACCAGAACCTCCAAGCCACACTAGCTTTAAGTGGAAATTGAAGAGCAGCTTCTTGCAGCCAGCCAGTGGCACCAGAGCCCCATGTTTCTCCACTGAGACTCTGCTCCCTGGGGAGACTCCACTCTCAGGCAGGCTGTCTTCTTTTGAGGGTGGCTGAGCACAGGAAACGCTTGTGTGCTCCAAGCCTAGTGGAAGAGAGACTTCCTGGAGCCTGAGCAGAGGGCCATTTGCTGTTGAGCAGTCCCCTGGCCCAGAGAATTCCTGCTAATCTGACTTAAGCCCCTACTGCTTCTTCCTCCCCTCTGTGTAGGGTGAACCCCACCAACCTCTGCCCCCTCCATATCCCTGCCCTGAAATTGGGCAGGAAATAACCGTGCATCTACTTCAGAACCAGCCACAAAAACCCAGAGTGCCAGGCCCTGGCCTCACAGTAACCCAGCTCCTTTAATCCTCTTTGCTTGTAAGTTCTTTAACATTTATGGCATCCTTTTTGTCTTTTTGTTAAGGAATATTTCAAACATAAAAAGTGTTCTCATTTTTTTTTTTAAGTTGTAGATGGACACAATACCTGTATTTTATTTATTTATATGTGGTGCTGAGAATCGAACCCAGTGCCTCACACATGCTAGGCAAGCGCTCTATACCACTGAGCTACAACCCTAGTCCAAATGTCCTCATTTCTCTGCTTTGGCATTTGCCAGTGCCCAGCCAGATTGTCTGCCCTTTCCTCCTTCCCTCTAAGTTCTTGTGAACCAGAGCCCAGGCATCTCACTCCATTTCCAGACACCTCAACATATATGTCTGAAAGATAAGGACTCATAGCCAGAGTACCCTCCTCATACCTTAAAAACATCCTTAATAGCATGTAATACCCAGTCTGCTGATTTTTATGACAAATCAGAATCCAAATAAGACTCACCTGTTGCATTTGACTGATGTCTGCTAATTCCAACAGGTCTTACACATCTTTTTTTTCCATACAGTTTATTTGTTGGAGGACTGGTCATTTGTCCTGTAGACTCACA